TTTAGAAAGGACCTTGAAATACAGCAGCTTGTGAGCCAGCCAGAAGCTCTCAGCACGTTTAACAAGGCTCAGCACCCCTGCTAACCTTCTCCTTTGTCAGTGGACTCAGAGATTAATGCGGTGATTAAGTGGCTTTCTTAAATGAGATATTGTTTCACTTCAGCAATAGGAAAACTACAGTGCATAAAACAATAAAGATTTTAAACCAATTAAGCAGCCTAATTTATTTCCCTTAGGGCTCAATGTATCTTGAAATGTTAGGAAAATGCAATGTTTTCAAATTCTCTCCTTCCATGCATCCCATAGCCAACAACTGTACTTGACCTTACCCTTTCCAACTATTCTGTCATCTTTAGCTCCTAATTCTGGTGGAGCAGCTGTGTAAATATAGCTGGAGTTAAGAAACCATAATCTTCACAGCTCAGAGATTAACATCTCTTACCTTCCTGAGCTGTTTGCAGGCAGGTATTTAGTCTGGTGGCACTGTCTGGCCTCCCTGCCTGCTTTTTCTCCTTAGTTTTTGGGTTTGCCTTTAAATAAAATCAGTATGCGAATACTGAGTGACTGTGCCACTCGGCAGGCCCCACAGGGAGCAGGCAGACTGCAGGCAGCATCACCCAGCCACTGTACAGGTGCCTCAGATCTCTCACAGCTGGCATCAATGGAACAAGACACTGACAAGGTGGAAACTCGAGACCTTAATTTGTGGTTTGGGATTGTTTTCAGCTAGGTCACTGAAACGGTATTTTTGCTTCTTTACAGCTGGTTTTAAAAGACTGACTAATGCTTCAAGGAAGGGCAAGGGACCAGCTACGTATCATCCCTCTGTTTTGTCCTTAGAAAGGTAAGATGGCTGTAGGACCCCATATATGAACCTCAGGCATCACCCTGCTGCAAAATCAGGCTGTGTACTTCTTTTCCATTTTAAAATATATGTAAGAGTTTATCCACACAGCTCTGCAGTCTTGTACTGCTCCTAAAAATAATCACAGCCTGCAAAGCAGCATGAAGGGGCAGGCCCTCACATACCTATGCCAGTCAGGATTAAAAAAATAATAAAATGCTTTCCTCATCCCCCAGACTAAACAAATGGAAGATGGTGCCCATTCACAGCTCCCTACGCATCCCTTCCAGCAGCAACAAGACTGGTTTTGGCTCAGGGACACGAAGCTATCTGCTGTCAGAGCAGAGCTGTAAGCTGTAACCCTTTTAAAAGATGAGTCACCCAACAATAAAGTAAAAACACTGATCCAAAAACCACCAATCCGTGCCTAGATTTCTCCCTCAAAACAAGCTAAAGGAAGACAGCATTATGAGCACGTTTTGTAGTTGTCATGCACAGCTGCATCAAGACTGCATGTTAGGGTCTGTGCCCTGTATACAGTGTATCCAGATTGCCCACATTTTCCACACTTTGCTTTACCCAGTCCTTCTTTGTAGTATCAAAGCAGTGCCTAAATTCTCCTCTGATGCCAAGAATGACACCCTCCTCTCAACAAAAAGCCAGAAACTAATTAACACCCTGCTAGCTGTAAACAAATGATCCAAGATGTAGACAACCTCTCCTCTCCCCCCGAAGAAGGCAGAGCTGCCTTCTCACAGACCTGGTGGGGTCTGGAAGGGCTTGCTAGCCCCCACCTGACCAGACTGCTTTCAGCTGCTCTGACTGTTGAGTCCCAGGTTAAAAAGTCCTGCAGCACCAAAGGACTGTGTAAGGTGACTCTTCAAGTCAGGCTGGGAACCAACTGGTTGTGGGCACTGCTTTCCTCACAAAGGACCAATCATGTCTCAATAAAACGTGAAAATGTGAAGGAAGGTTTCACCTATCGCCTGGCTGAAAACCAGTACTTTTTTTTTTTTCCTAAATGCACATTCAGTGCAACACAACTTTAAGGCAATGTCAAGAGCACTTTTTCTAGATGAAACAGTAATAAACTAATAGAAATCCACAGTTAGAAAACAGAGACCAGATCCTGAAGACTGGTTAACTTTAAATGATTGCATGTGCATAAACAGCTGAGGCAATGTCATACTAGCTTCCGTAAACTCACAAAACAGCGATAAGGTTACAAGACCCTGTGATTTGTTCGTTTTTAACAATACTGCAGCGATTTAAATGCAATTCCCGACTTCCTTAAAGTAGCAGGACCTTAGGGTATTTATTCAAGTGCCCTGAAGCAGAGTGCCATTTGTAGCCCATTGTAGCAACATTTGTTTAAAAAAAAAAAAGTTGTGTAACTGTAGCATTGTAACAAAATTACATCTGCTTATTCAGCTTCTTTTTAAGTTTTTCTTAAACATACCTATACTTAGGCCAGAACTACCAATTGACTGTATGGAAAACAGTGATCCCACATGGACAGAACTATTGCCAGCAGAAACTCAGTCACCTAAGATTCAAAATGCTCTGCTGCAATCACCATTTTGTTTCATAGCTGAAGACTTTATCACAGTAGTACAATACAACACCGCAGTTTTGGAGGTGCAGCTACATCTGTATATTTTACTCAGAACAGTTAATGCAATATTCCAGAAAATAAGTTCTAGTACAGAGAAAGGTACAGCTTGAACCTAAAACTCATCCCCCTGCTCAAAATCTTTTGCTTTCAGATCAGTATTAAATACCATTTGATAACAAGCATGACATTTTAGAAACACTGCTCTCCACCTTCCCTTTCTTCCTCCAGAGTGTTGGAGTATAGACTGGTCATGTCTTTGTACTTAAAATCATTAATTGAAGCTTTTATAGGTAGAAAAGTTTAGGGATACTGTCACCAGATAAACACTACCATGTTTAGTATACAGACCAATATATGGTTGACTTTCTCAAGCAAATGCCTAATTAATACTCAAAGCAATTATTACTTGGTATTGTACAGTCAGTTTAGTAGGCAAAAAGTGCCAACCTTTCATCTCACCTTCCTCATCCTAGTAGTACTGTGAACCTGACAGGGAGGAAAATGTTAGCCAGATTATACCAATTGCACCCCAAATCCATAAGGCTTAGCATCACTAATACAGGTCCTTCTCAAGGTTGTTAGTAACCTACATTTTGATGTGCTATCAGTTACATGAACAGAAATGAAAATAACAGGTTTTTGAGATAGGTTTGGATTTTCCTGTTCAAACTTAACAATTTTGATTCGCAGGCCTCTAAATGCAGTTTGTCTTGTCAGACTTCGGGTTCTGAGATTAATTAGAAGCTTCTGTATCTCTTGCCTGTGAGTACATGATAAATGCCCAACATCACCTATTAAACCTTGCATATAATACAAGAGGCTCAACTATATAAAAGATTTTCATGCAAGATCCATCATCACTTCAGAAAGGAGTCACTGCAGACTGCATTTCTTCTGTGAATATACAGACATGCTATTGATTTAAAAATTTTAATGAGATACCTGCAACTTATAACACTGTGACATTTATGAGCCTCACCACACTTAGAACACTGCTTTTCAACAGAAATAGCTCTACTGTTACTAGAATCGATTTGTACACAGAGGTTGATGAGAATGTACTGCTGCAGTACAAGAAGTCAGACACCTTCTCTCTGCAGGCTTGTTTTGAATTGTTTATTGAGGTTTAAGAAGTCATCCACATTTCTATAAATATAGACATTACTTAAGTGACTTACAATGTCACCAGTGCAGGTACATATATAACCAACATACAAAAGCTCCACTGGAAGCTACTTCAGTTTATTCAAAAAGGACCAAGATGTCATTAAAAAAAAACAGCTGTCACTTTCAGTTGCTGAAGACACTAAAGTGCATTTTTGTTACCTCCTGGATGAACAGCTGCTGGTTAAAAAGATTTATTATTTTTTTTAAACATATCTAAGTTACATTGATTGACATTCAGGTTCGTAGTTGTCATCCTCCTGATACATGGCAGCAAGTAAGAAAAATTTACTACTTTGACGGTTGAGTAAGAGGAGGAAATAGATTTTGCCTTTTTTTTTTAATTGGGTATTCCAAACAGAAGTTTAAAGGTAATCTAACATTCTAATGAATTTTTACAGCACCACTAAGTTAGTCTTAAAATCCAGGCTCTGTTTTAGCCCTTTTAATTGCTAGCCAAGTATCTAAAGAGTCACTTGAAGCTCTGTACCAGTAAGAAAAACTACCCCCCCTTTTCCATCAAGCACTATCCTGCCCAGTTAACACTGTTTGCGAACTCTGTAAACAAGAACAGCTTAAAGCATAATTAAACCAGAACACAGGCCCATCTTGAAAGTCTTCTTCCCCCAATTCCCTCCCCCCCAACCCCTGGTAATGTCAAATGTTTGTGTATAAAGCATTATTACATTCCTAGCCACAAAATACTTTAAGAGTCACAATAAAAAAAGCATACGTTGAAAGTGACATAGCAATACCACTTTAATAAAATGGGGTCTTTCAGGGAGATACAAGATGTCCTCTGCTAATTTTAGCTTCATCTTTACTTCATTATAATTTCATTTTACTGCCAGAAAAGTTACCAGTAGAGCAAAGAATGCTGCGCTGGTTAGAACCACAACAGCCAGAGTTGTTCTTGATAGCTCCTTTACTGCAATTAATTTACTTTTAACTTGATAGGAGGAAGACAAAATACTCATCATTCAGAAATAAATTACTAATTTTGAGTAACAGTTTAAATCTGATTAGCACTGTATAATGATGAATGGCTACTTCTAAAAATAAAAACCTTACATACCAAAAAACATCCTGTATATTGAGAAACCACTTTTTCATGCTCCAGCGTGTTGTTTACATTTTATATTTGTCAAAAAGTCTAGCTTTTATCAGTTGAAGAATCCACAGCACTTAAATTTCAAGTATTTGAACTGAATATGATTCAATTTCAAAAAAGTGCCAAATTAAAAAAACTACACATGTAGCCAAGCTTTCATAGAAATCCCCAAATAAGATAAAAAAACAGCCTCTCAAAATAATGGGTTACTAGCTTCATACATTTTTAAAGCTGTATAATGTTCACCTAAACACTCCACTTACGAGCATTAGAAGTTTAAAAACACGGAACACCTTCAATGCAAACTGCTTGCAGAGGGCACCCTCAAACATATCAATACAACACTAAGCAGAAACCCCTCGTTTTATTTGGCCATTCAGACATCCATGTCACATATACCCACCCATCCATTTCCTGATAGTATTACATCATTAGGACTTCTGAAATAATACAGAGCCATAAAACTCAGAAGAGACTAGAATTAAAAAAAAAAAGTTCCATAACTGCACAGCCTTCCACAAGGCAAGGTTGTGCAACTGATTGTTTAACGTAACTAAGCTTAACAGCATCCAAACAAGTAGGCCTGTGCTTGGAAGCTGTTTAATGTCAAATTTTGACCATGTAACTACTCTAAAACAGAAAGGTCAAAATAGAACTCATCTCTTCTTTTTCTGCTGCCTCAACATTTTCCTTCGCTTAATGATCATATCATGTAGTTTCTCCAGTCCTTCTTTCAGTCCATCTCCAATGATTGCACAGGTAGGCTGCAAATGCCAGGGAGTCGAAGAACTCAGCTCACTCATTGCTAACATTTTCTCAATTTCAGAAAGGGAGAGGGAGTTCCTCAAGTCCTGCTTGTTAGCAATGATAAGAACAGGCACTCCTTGATTTTCAGATATCCTAGTAATTTTATGAAGTTCTGTTTTGGCTTCCTCCATTCTCTCAACATCGACAGAGTCCACCACAAACACAATGCCATCGGTGCACCTTGTGTATGACTTCCACAGCGGCCTTAGCTTCTCCTGGCCGCCCACATCCCAGAAGTGGAAAGTGACCGTTTTCGAGTTGCCTAGCGTCACTTTTATTTTCTCTGTATTAAATCCTTTAGTGGGGACAGTGTTGACAAACTCATTGAACTGCAGCCTATAGAGCACGGTAGTCTTTCCTGCGCAGTCCAGACCCAAGATTACAATGTGGAAACTCTGGAAAGAAGGCAGGCTGGAGAGAATGGGCGTCTGGTCCGAGAGTCCATTCCCCATTGCCAGACGAGAAGGTGACAGCAGGCTGCCACGAGCAGGGGCCGGCTCCAACGGGTACACTCCCCGCCGCGCTAGGCTCCGATCCTGCCAACGACACAAGCGGCATTAACCCACGGATGACTCCCCTTCCGCCTCGACCGGGCTTTCGCGGCCGCAACGCGCCGGCCAGAACC